CATGAACACGTTCTTGTTTACAAAAAGTTTCCTACTTTAACCTTGAAATAAATTAATCGATTATTACAAATGATTAGTCATACCGTGAGGGTTCAGATGCACATGGATGTCTTTGAGTGAATCTCAGTTGCAATTTACTGGGAGCAATTGACACTCTTGATATTGAAGCATGCTAATTAAACCATACGCCAAATCACTAATTATCAACACACAATACTTCAATCTGCATTCATCCTCCACGTCTCCACTTTCATTTGATACATCACAATGTGATCATCTGATTAACTCATACCAAACTGTCAATGTAAGTGTTTAGAGTTTTAGAGGGCATTTATGATATTTTTATACCCTTTATTTCCAAGTAGCTATTAAAATCACTACTGCTGTTTACTTACATGACACCGTAAGGAAGTATCAATAGTGTGCACGGCAATACTACCAATAAATGTTACTGTATAATTTCTTGCTACGCTGAGAGCTTTCCTACATAACGCTTAAATCAATTGTTACATTAAACAGTAGCATTAGTTACTTATGTCTCAGAAAGAAAAATGATTTATATGAATGCGTCTTATCGATTGGTACCTCTTACTTTGAATGACGAAGACCTATTCTTATCTTTGACCGTTTACTCTATTTGACCTGAGGGGCGTGGTTGCTAATCGTCAACTTAAGATCTACAGAGTATTAAAGCCTGCGCATGTTGGGCAGCATCAAGAGAAATAACCTTACATATTAGAGCTGCGAAACGTTTTACGTTTTGGAGTGACCGAAAGCAATACGAAGCGCGTATGCCACTGCAAGTGAGTTTACTGCAAAAACACGTTTTTTCAAAGTGGCCGTCAAATCTCAGTAACTTTGCCGATATCAACCAAAGTTCACTGATACGAAAACAAAGTCGTCGAGATTGTGTAACGTCAGTGATTTGAGGAGATGAAGGCTAATTGTTTTTATATAAATTTTTGAAACTACCTCCAATGTTGTCTCTCCCATAGCACATAAAAGTCGCTATTTAACCCAGAAGGTTCACGTGAATAAAGCGAACTTTATTGGACTGTGACAGAATCACGCGCATGTTGTATATACCAAGTGATTTAAGCGAATACTTAAGCGTTCGGCTACGATAAATGTTTAAAGGTCGTCTCCCATTGATTGACGCCATTTAGCACCCAACAGATGACACCAGTTGTTGATGTCCAGAAGTCCTAGACATGACAGTGGCGAACCAATGATAGGTTCAAGCTACCTCGACGATGATTCATGGATCTCGGTAGAATCAGGCTTGCTAATTTTATTTATACCTAGACGGTGCTGGTGACGAAGCCGAGCACATGCCTGCATTTTTCAAAAGCAGCACGCCCTCAGCATAAATTCAAATCATTCGTGCCCACATGAAGGACCTTGGTTTCTGTTGATTGTGGGACGAAATCCAACAGCGAATGCATGTTGTTGTTGAAGGCACCGCCGTGAGTGACGAATGCAATCGAGGAGCGGGTTGAAATGCTAGTGATGATACTTTGTATCTGAACCGCCCGATAACGCAGGAGATGTGTGTCTTTTCGAGAATTTCGACACGATGCTCTTCGTTGTTAGATTTCCAGAACCCGCAGTCCTAATTATTCAGCACGAAAGTTCAGGTCTGGTGAGTATAAAAAATTGGGTACACTTACGAGGAGCAATACTTTCATGCTTAACGTTTCAGCCATGGCACGGCTTGTAAGCGAATGAAGAGTATACAAGCAATGCCGCTTTTAAGGGCTGATCACAATATGCGCCGGCCGCGGCAGCAAGGTCCGACTATAGCGGCACTAGTTCTTGGGACCACCACGCACCCATTTTCTTCGCCGGTGCTTCGAAACTATGTTTATTCTGGTAACGTTGTTCACAGCCTTCTACGTTCAGCGGAAAATACTTGTCCTCAGAATGCTTCCTTTTGGCATCACTGCTGCAATTAATCTGAAGAGTTACCTCCGCCGAACGACTTCGACACCAGCAACATTACGTCACCAAGTTTATCTACATACGGAGACGATTTCGCTAATTTCGCTTTGAATCTCGTGAAACAAGCAAATTGCTTGCAGTGCGCTGTCATCTGCATGAACCAACGTGCGAAAACGAGTGGCACAGAGCTGGCCGATTTATGATTGCTCAATTATAGAAAAGCGAATCGAGGGCCCAAGCGACCTTCCACTTACAATGTTACGGAATTTTTGCACTACAGAAGCACTGACGAATGCTGTATGCAAGTAAAACAAGACGAGTTTTAACTGAAAGGGTCAGACGATAACATTCACCTAACGTACGTGGCAACAGCAAACCTTGCAAATCCGATATGTGTAGCTTGTGGGCTATAATCGAAAGCACGAGTTGCCACGAATTTTCACGAAAACTTCTCGTGTCGCAAGGATCAAGCAACTTGATCTCAGGGACGCTCCAGTTTGATCACTGACGCAGCAAACGGGCAAAATTGTGGCGGTAGTTTCTTGCGAAGTGGATAAGACTGACGCTAGCATAACCAAACGAGTGGAGCGGCTGCTTACTGACCATCTTTGAGAGGACGCTCCCGAATTCCGCTTGGCGGCGCAACACTCTAAGGGCATGGTGAATATCCATAAATTTGCCCAAGAAGTCAATGCAGTATAGTTTGCAAGACATGGCTGCAACTGCGGCATTAGTAGCTCCTAGTCCACTGCTGATCATAAAAGATACTGCTACTCATTTTAACGTGTCGTTTTTTAGTTACCTAACGCCATAGTCACATATTTCTCATATATTTTTCTTCGAAGTTTTCCGCTTTCAACTGAAGCAGAACTACTAAAATCTGACTAATATTAGAATTTTCACGAATTTTAAGCCCCAGGATTCTACTTTCAAATTAATTTTTAACAACATTTGTGAGAGAAAAACTGTAACGTGCATCATTTTATTTCTGCTTCAGTAGCTGTAGCCACTTATGTAGAATACCAGGTAAAACAGTCGTATAGCATAGTCGTCCGTAAGCGTCACGGAATATACCAAATTTAGTATATGTGAAGCTAGCGAAACGGCCGCGAGCGTCCATGAAGGTGGCGTGTAGTGATCTACCTGAACGACGCGCATAGCATGATTATTCTGTTCGCACAGGTCTTTACTTTCGTCATCTATTCAGGTCACGTAATACCGAATTTGGTCAATGTGAAGCTAGCGAAATCACCGCGAGCGCATCATAAGCGTGGCATGTAGTCATGTTCTTACATGACATGCATGTCATGATTTCCACGTTAGGGCCTGTCACGTGTGTTCGCCATGCAGTCATGTCACCCCATACTAGGTTTGAAATATATCATGTGAACGAAACCACCGCAAGAGCAGAAAGACATTGACATATAAACAATGACTTTCAAGACATACATGCCATGATATGTTAAGCTTTGACTAGTCAATTATTTTAGTATATCAGTCATGTTATGCCATACCAATTTTAGCATAGATCCCATCATTGAAACCGCTAGGATTGCTAGAATTCGTAGGTGGCTGGTAGATAATTGATTTTGTCCAGGCTTCCAAAATAATCAGTTGAGAATTTTGGCTCGTGTGACAGACTGTCATCATTATATGCAACAACAATATCCAATGTCGCAATCCTTCCGGCTTTGAACCAATACAAAAAGAACAAAGACTGTGTGACGCAAATTTCATAACTCCACACTTGCACCAGGCAGTTTGCATGGGCTATTAAGTATGATTGCATCACAAATAATAGTCATGTCCACTAGAGCACACCCGTTGTCGCCACGCACGTTGTTCACTTTAAGTACGCTCAAAAGGCTAAGAAGTTTACCGGGAAGAGCTCGCTAGTTGAGCGTTCAACACTTAGCACGCCGCCGACATTCATTCACAGAGAACTGTATGGGTTGCAGCGCAATTTGCATTAGCTTTCAGCATCTAAACTCAACAATAATGGCCAAAAAAGGCGTAATGAAGCTAGGAGGTGACAGTGCCTTTCAAGAACGCATCACTGCTAATCTGCGATGCCAACTGAATCATCACTGTTAGATTTTTTTTCTTGTAATCCCACCGCTTATGTAACATCCCCTAATGGGGGTTCTTAAGAAAATGAAACTAAACTGAACTGAAGCGATGTGCTTCAAAAACGAATTGTGAATATAAAGGCTCACAGTGTCTTCGTACTGCCTTATAGAAGCTACCTGACAATTTCCCATACACAGCAGGTTTTTTTTATGAATAAACATTAAGGCTTTCGTACAATAGGTTTCTTTTTTTTCAGATGATACACCGCAAGCACTGAGCGCACACGAGGATGTCCCTAGGGTGCATTTTCAGTTACTACTTGCTCTCGAAACAGTGCTTTTGAGCCACAAAAAAATTGCTGTTCAAGAAAAGTACCCGCGTAAAAAATATCACACAAGTTGCAAAAATAGGTGATATGTTTCAGAAATTCGCCCTACCGTGTGCCGTGAAACACTAACACAATACCTTCCAAAATACAGTCGCTCACATATAAGGCCAAAGGCTCACATCTATCGTAAATATCTAAGCGAGATTCTGCAAAAAGATACGATGGTCCAAAATTACCACGTAATCACAAGAAACGTGGTATTAGACGTCATCATGACGTCATATGCTTGCACTATTTGCGAGTTTATCATGACGCCACTATGATGTTCTCACAGAACGTCGGCTCCAGAGGTATTGCGATAACACAATAACTACTCAAATTATCAGGTGGGGGAGGTGGGCGCAACGGTGATACCGATTTGTTGAAAAGAAAACCATGTAAACCAAGAGTTGTCCAGTCATCTTACTATAATGTTTAATGGCCTTGTGATCGTCTGCCAACAGCTCCTGTTTCGGCAAAACCACAAGAGAGCCTTGAGCAGGACTTGGTGTCGTCGTACACCAGGTTGTTGAGCACACATGGTTGCGTAGTAATGAACCCGTTTCTCTAAAAACATTCTGGTCTTGTACCCTTTCTGAATTACTGCACAGACTAACACGTCAGGTGTTTTCGCTCTTTAATAATAATAATGCACGATATTCGCTTATATATCATAAATCGACCAGCCTCTTGCAAAACTAAACGCCCGACAAGCAGCATAAATCGCCTCCTTGGACTTAGTTGAGGTTCCTGTAACGAGATTCAGCATAAATGTTTAGCAAACAGGGCTTTTATAAACATATACACAGGTCAAAAATGGTCGTAACATCCCTGAAAAAGAAGCGTTCCACGAAAAAGCAATTTCATTGAGTGCGAGCAGGCGCCTTCTGAGGTCTTCCACCAGGATTAAAGCGAGAACACTTCAAGGGCTCCTCCCGGGCCCTTGATGCTGTTCTTGCGTGTAGGCTTTGTGAACCGATGTTGCACTACAGGCGTCAGTAGCATAAAGCAGACTTAATCTTGGCAATCAGTATGAAGCTTTCATTACTTACGAATACCGACATAATTAGATAAAAAGTCCTGTATACTTACTTATTACAGTTGGTATCGAAAAGACTGTGGGGAGAAAAAAGAAAGTAGTGCTACACAAGTACTCAATCTCTTTTCGTTGGCAGGCATTGCATTAGTTTACTATAAACGAGCGCTTGATGCTACCACATGTTACCCTACTTGCAAGAGTATCAACTTACTGTGAATAAATAAATATCTACCACATGTTATCCTACTTCCAAGAATATCAACCTACTGTCAATAAATAAATAGTAATGAGGTAAAAATAATTCGGTAGTTCCCAAATAAAATTTCAATCTATATTATGCGAGTCATGTAGAGCAATGATGCCTGTGATGTAAATTTAGTTGAGCGAAACATCAGGAAATAATGCTAGAGACGTGTGCAACTGTACGAGCAGACTTATGGACAGTCAGTCGTATGTTTTCTAGAACATGCGTATATTTGTATACAGCTACGTCGCGATTCCAACAGGGGTATTTCAATATCAGAAGCGGTAACCTGATTGTTGTGTCGACGCCGTAGGACAGTTGCCCTCAGTAGTGGTACCACGGCTGCTAGATAAAAAACAAGGTTTTTTATCCAGCGGCCATGGTTGCACCTAAGGCCCCTACAGAGGTTGGTGTTTAGGAATACAATTGACATTAAGCCAGCGCGATGACTATCATAGGAGTACGTACTTCCGTGTAGGTGTTAAAACAAAGGTCGTTAATACGCTTACGCCGTCGAACGGGTTTTGTGTACAAATTAGCTTAAGCCTATGGTGAACTGTAAAACTTTGGCCATAGTGTATCATTGTGCAGTTTTGACTACACTGTTCGCGATTTACAAAAACTATGGGATGCTTTTTTTATTACGAAAGTTGATTTCATCCCTAATGTGACCATCCGTTTAAGAGCCCCGTCCTGTTTTCGAAGCATTGCATTCATACATCGAGCACCCCTGTAAAGTGGTTATGATTTGATGCCGCATAGAGTTTACCTTATTGCAGTCCTAGATTGCTCGTTCAGAAAAAAAACTATAAAGTTGATAAGAAAAACAGAAAACTGCTGCGTCACTAAGCAGGTTAGCATCACACACAAAAAAGTAAAGGAGCACTCACTGTCGTCTGAGAGGAGCGTGAAGAGGACGGCGAAAAGCGTGCAGCTGATGAGCAGGAGCAAGGCGCTCATCGCCACCACAACGAAGCGCTCGCGACTGTTGGTGACCGAGCTGCAGGAGAAGTGCAATTGGATGTAGTTTACAACTTTGGACATGCATGTCACGTAATACACGAAAATAGTTCTCTTAGTCAATATAATAATAATGAGAGCCATACACAGGAGCACACCAACTGTTTGAACGAAGAACCAAAATTGGTAATGAACATGAATTGGAAGGGAGTGCTAAATGACTAAATGAGGAACTGCGGCGATGGCGTAGTGGTTAGAGCATCCACCTCACATGAAAAAGGTCCGTGGTTCAAATCCCGGTACCGCGCAGTTCCCCACCGGATAAAAAAAATCCGCGTGGTGATGGAACTGCATTAAGAGGCCTGGGGTGCGGCCTCACCGGTAACCACCGCCGGGAACGCACTCCCGCACCAGAGAAAGGATTGGCCACCCTGGTGCAGTATCTGGCCACTACCTCCCACATGCATGCGTCAATGGGAGAGGCCTTTGTCCTGCAGTGGACGTAGTCAGGCTGGTGATGATGATGATGATGCTAAACTACTGCATGGCATGGTTACTGATCGACACGAGCACTTGCAATATAAATAAGTTTGTTTATTAGCATCCATGCATCCCACTATGCTGTTAACAGGTTTATTGTTGAAAGCATATATTTATTTTCCACACACACGAAAATGAAAGACCCGAGTGTACCGACTGTTCAATTGCGCTTATGGGGAATTCTTTATGCGCTTACGCCTCCTAGTAAATATTTTTTTAATTATGGAACACTAGCAATGACCCGGACGAACTGCATGGTAGAATGTCATATTCTGGTGCTTCGGCACTTGGTCTAAGAGAAGGTGAGAAGAACTGCACACCGGGACTGGTTTTGTAGGTGCATGTTCGACGCTAGCATACGTATCAGCGTTCTCTGATAATTTAACCATCATAGAAGACAAAATGCATTTCCGATTCCTTGCATAGTTGCGTAAGAGCAAGCTTCTAGATGGTTGTTTATCTATCGAAGTGGAGAGGCGCCACCACGTGCTACTTCAATTAGCCGCGAAATTTCAACAGAACATATCTCTCCACTACCCATCAGTACGCGGTAGGCTTCTAACCAGCCCCACCCCAGCTCCGACTCGTCAAAGTGCCACCTGCTTTCCATCGGCACTCCGGCTTGCTTCTGCTCGGCGGCGTGCCTGTTCAGTCGTAGGCCGGTGTACAAGTGATGTGTGTAGATGCGTTGTCTTGACCTTTACTGCAGCGCCCTTAAACAAAAGCTTCATACCACTCGTTTAGAGATTGGCCAGAAAAAATAACAGAAGGATGCGTCTACGACGAGTAAACAGAGGCTAACGCGAGTATCTGGTTGTACTCCACACTAATGATTCCATAGCAGTCTCTATGTCACCACAACCAATGTGAGTGCCGAAATTGGTGCCGTATATGCGTGCCTCGCTGGAAATATTGTGGAAAGAAAATAGTCTTCTGCCGGGTGTCTTTTTTCGTGCATGGCGTGGCACTTTCAGCGCAGCGTAGGAAACACTAGAATCTTTGAATTACGCATCCATGCATTTTTATAGTAAAGATATACAATACCGAGCACTTACGTTTTGATGTTGCACCTCAGATATGCGTATTATTAGCTCTTTGATTGATAATGTTCACAAGCATGAACGCAACCACCAGTTCAAGAGACCTGGGTGTTCAGCAAGTGCTTAACTTTCATCTGGTAGCTGAATTGTATGGCATACACAAAGACAGACAGACGGACGGACGGAAATATATGCCTTCAAGTAAGCCAAGAAAAGTAAGCCAAGAAACAACAACACAAGTCATCAGGTCTAACGGTTACAAAAAGAAGCGATCTTGAACTTACGTGAACTCTGGCGTCACCTCCACGACTTCCCTCCTGAAAAGGAGAACAAGGCTTTATTGCAAACGATCGACTGAGTTGTATGTATGTCTACGCCAGTTCCCTCGAGCATGCAAATTTCAGTGCAGCTGTGGCAGGTGTGTGCTTTTCTAAGCACTGTTGTATTACTGTTTTACTCGTAATACTGAGCGCTGGTTTGTTCTGTATCTTGCCACACCTGCACTTGCCTAAAGACAATGCGGTAGTAGTGGTTCATGAGGTGACTACAATGAGAAAAGGCGCAGAGATTAGAAGGGCACTTTCGACCTTATAGTAAACAGGAGATATTAAAATTTCAAACTCAGGCTCCCGTTTGCGAGGTCATCCCAAAGGTTCTTGTGTTTAGGTGATGACCACCACACGAAAACAAGGCGTGATGGCCACGTCACAACTTTGAAACAACTGTCATGGAGATTGGGGTGAATATTCAATGTAGTCTAGATAACGGCGCGGCACTCCTTTCTGTTGTCGAATATTTGACTTCCACCTCGCATAGTGACAGGCTAACAAAACATAATTCTCACTAACCCGTCAGTTTTCTGTAAGGCGCTTGCGTGGACATATATTTATTTACCGGCATATTGGCCGAAATGCAGAAGTATCAGATTACGCAGTTCCCACTTCATTTGTACGTGTACCTTTATAAGATGAGGTTGTGGCTCGGCTATACGCAAAAACTCTCTGAGAAAGTGTCTGTTGTAGGCGGACAAGCCGAGCGATCAGCTTACTGTCTTGTTGTTGGTGAATGGTGGCGACGCAGCGATGGCAGCTGTTGACATGCCAAAGAGCTTCTCCTACTCAAAGCGACATTTTTCTGAACTTAGGGTGAGTCAAGAAATATTGATTGCTTGTCGTACAACTTCAAGGCGGCGGAGGTGCCCGTCGAAGTTGGAGGCAAACACCACGACGTCGTCCAAGTAAACGAGACAGGTCTGCCACTTCAGGCCGGTCAGGATTATGTATATTGGCACGGACATGCAGGAATTTTCTGGCTGTTGCGTGGCAACTTCAATATTACTTTTGCATGAAGAAGAATTTGGGCTTGAAAAAGACGACGACGAAATCGCGATGCTCGATTGACGCTGCTTTCAACACTGTTACTTGCACTCATTTTATTACCGTAGAAAACTGGTGGAGGTGCTGGATAGATTTCAAATTCGTGAGTTTGAACTCAAGCCGTTTCAAGCTGCTGCCACCATTTTAACAATTCCCGAGGAAAACCTGGCACTTCGCCTCAGCACTCGCTTGCTAGACCTAGCTCCTTAATTTGGTCCCTTGAGCTGGGCAATAATAACAAACACAACGGCAAGTCAGACGCAAGAGAGCAACGTAGACCAACTCATCCACCCCAAGCGTTGTCTACACAGCACGCGTCCCGAAGCTGTTTTATGACGATGTGTTCGAGGGAGTGGATGACTGGCTAGACCACTTCGACCGGGACGCGGCCGCCAATGAATGTAATGAAACCATGAAGCTTCGCTACTTCTATTTTGCAATGAAGACTATGCTCATACCAGGTATGAGAACCATTAGCCGTCTATTACCAGCTGGCAAATATTTCAGAGACAGCTATGCCAGGCATTCAAAAAACTCTCAAGGAAAGAAAAAGCCGAGCAGGCTCTGCAGCTCCGGATTCACAAGCCAAATGAAAACATGGTCATGTTTGTCGAAGACATGTAACGCTTGTTCGAATGCGCGGACCAATAGTGTACAAAAAAAGTTCGTCTCCTCCTGCAGTGTGTCAAAAAGCAACTTTTTGCTGGACTAATGCGCAAGCCCCCAACCACTGTCTATCAGTTCATCGCTAAAGCTTCTACCATAAAACGAGCACTTCAGCAACGCTCTCAGCAGTGTGACCGCCAAGCTTCTGTCGCTGCGGTGTCACATTTCACCTCCGGACAGGACTTATCAGCACTCCGCGAGCTTGTCTGGAGCATGCTCCGCGAGGAGCGTGCAAAGTTCGTTCCACTTCTCACCCGAGTGTGACGATTCTGGGTGATATCATTCGCGATTAACTCAGGAATGTGGCCACACAATTGCTCTCAGAGCGAGCGGAAGCTCCTGCTCAGTCTTACGCCGAAGCACTCAGGAGTCGTCAACCTTCTACAGGGCACAGGCGACCCTCTACTTTTTCACCATCGCCCCGTCAATTCGCTCCTGAATATAACTACGAGAGCACTTTCCAGTATGACGTTTCGCGTGAAGTCACCTGTAAATCTGACGTAAGGCGAACCTCAGACAATAGGCCCCTTTGCTACCACTGCGGTGAAGCTGGCCATCTGTACCGCTAGTGTGCGTATGGTAGGATGGGCACTCTGGGGTTTCACCCTAACGCGCGCCGACCCAGCAACGGGGAGCGTCCTCGCGAGGTTCAACAATACCTAGCAGCGCAGCAGCCGTTCCCTCCTGTACAAAGCCACCGGCCACCCTCACCTTCTTGGCGCCTCGGCTCACTTAATCCTTACGCCACGTTCCTTGGCGTACGAAACAGGTCCCAAGTCCTGTCCCACGCCAGCTAAATTGAGGCCGGCGGCCTCCAGGAGTGGGGCCGCTGTTGACCAAACTTACAAACAGCCTTCGCCACGACACGTTGACGATGCTAATTTCTCTGTCTTGAAATTTTCTGAACGAGGCGCAGCAATTTCCGACGATATTTCAAAAACCAACGGCAATCACTCGACCACCGCTATCGTGAATACTTGCGCTGATTACTCCGTTATGAGTAGTGACTTCGTGGCTGCTCTCCGAAAATTGATGACGCCAAGGAACGGTTCCCAGCTCCATACCACGTGTAGTCATCTAGTGAAGCAGTTTGGGAGGTGCACTGCCCGAGTACTTGTTCCTCTTCGACCTTCATCGGGTTTCTCGTCGTAAAGCGGAAAGGCTCCAGGCAGGTCATCTTGGGATTAGACTTCCTTCGATATTATGGGGCAATTAAAATTCTCCAAGAATTGCTGGTGACGTTTTCACGTAACGCACATTCTCAGGATTACGAATCGCGTATGATGGTGTTGCGTGTATCCGACGATTCAGTGACCGTACCAGCCCGTTCCAGTGTTTTGGTTAACGTACTAAGCGACATCAACGGAACGGCTCTTGGAGTTATGCAAGGCAATGTGTCGGAACTCTGTTCTCGTCAACTATGCCCTGCCCGTGGTCTCAATGAACTGACACAAGAGCCTGCGAAATTTTTAGAAAATTTTAGTGATGAATACTAGCACTTCGTGAACGTTGTGTCACCACCTATATTTAAGAAATCGGAGAATCGAGAGGCAACTTTTCATTCGCGCACCTCTCTTCCTATTTCTCGATGACAAACAGTCTCTGGTTAAGCTTGATGTGATCTGCGCACTATCGACTACACAGCAAGAGATTCTTCGCTCCCTCTTGCTTTCCTTCGGTGATTGCTTTGCCACGACGTCCAAAGTCAGACAGACACCCGTCGCGAAGCACAGAATCATAAGAGAGCCCAACGAAAGGCCTATTCTACAACGTGCTTATTGTGTTTCCCACAGAAAACAAGACGCCATTAACGACCATGTACAACAAATGCTTGCTGACGACATCATTCAGCCATCTACAAGTCCATGGGCATCACGAATTGTGTTGGTGAAAAAGATAGACGGAACATTGCGTTTCTGGGTTCATTATGGCAAACTGAACATCTTGACAAAAAATACTTCCATTTGATTCTTCGCATCGATGACTCACTCGACCGCCTTCAAAACACCCGATATTTTTCATCCATGGATCTACGCAGTGGTTATTGGCAGATTGAGGTCGATAAGCGTGACCGGGAAAAGATCGCCTTCATTACTCCTGACGTGCTCTTCAAATTGAATGTGCTTCCTTTGATCTGTGCTCCGCACCAACGACTTTTCAACGAATGATGGACACAGTTTTGTCTGGTCTCAACGGGCAATTGCGGCTTGTCTATTTAGATGACGTCGTACTCTTTACGTGACTTTCGAGCAGCACCTTCAGCGCCTTCATGAAGTACTTGAAGCACTCTGAACAGCTGGCCTGTCGCTGAAGCCCGAAAAATGCCGCTATGGCTACGAGAAGCTCAAGTTTCTCGACCATGTAGTCAACAGTGACGCGCTTCACCCAGACGCCAAGAAAATGCTACCTATGGCTGTCTTTCCAACTCCAACGAGGAAACACGACATACGCCGTTTTCTGGGCCTTTGTGCGTACTATCGTTGCGTCGTATTGAACTTTTTGTAAATAGCAGGACCCTTACACCAGCTTACGAGAGACAACGTTGCTTTTGTGTGCCCCAAACCAACATGGATCTTTTTGCGATCTACGACGACGACTCGAGAGTTCTCCAATGTAGGGTCATTTCGACGAAAAAGCCGACACTGAAGTGCCTACATATTCAAGTACTGTCGGCCTCAGAGCTGTCCTTGTGCAATAGAAAAAAGGTGTCAAGCGAGTGATCGCCTACGCTAGTCGTACGTTACAATCTGCTGAAACAAACTATTCCACCACATAAAAGGAATGTCTAGTTGTCGTGTGGGTCATAGTCAAGTTCTGACCACATTTATATGGGCGACCATTCAAAGTAGTAACCAACCACAATTCTTAGTGCTGGCATGAGATCCTCAAAGACCCCTCAGGCCGTCTCACTCGACGGAGTCTCCACCTGCAACAATTTCACGTTACGGTGGTTTACAACTCGGGACGCAAGCACACGGATGCTGACTGCCTATCACGTGCCCCAGTCGAGTCAACTCTTCCTGACCAAACTGACGACGAAAGTTTCCTTATGACCATCACAGCCACCGACTTGGCCCAGAAACAGCGTGATGACACGGAACTTCTCCCAATCATCGACTATCTCGGGAACAAGCTCGAACAGCCATCACGAACATTAGGGCGCATGATTTCATCATTTTGTCTGTGACAACGTCCTGTACAAGCGTAGGTTTGATCCCAATGCTCGAACCGCCCTACTGGTCGTACCATCTGCGATGCGAGACGACATCCTTAAG